CCCCCCTTCGCGCTTTCCTCACTTGGTACTCTTTCCCTTCCCATGACGATGATGGCGAGTAGGCCAAACCGATGAAGAAGACGGAATGGTCTCATCGCTCTAAGATAACCGTGAGATACTCCTGCACTAAAATTCGATATAAATTTTTTTGTCCCCGTGCTCCATATTTCTGTCCAGTGGAGTTTTCTAACTTCTGTCGGAAATGCAGTGAGACCAGGTATGGCGGTACGAGAGGGGCAGCTCTCAAGGTCTGAGCTATACAAGGACCTTTAGGCTGTACATCGATCTTTAGACCCAGAGCCATCAGTAAACGTTGCCAGGAAATTTGAAAAAGGAAAAAAATATCGGGCAACAAAAATGCTTCTTGGAGGAATCCTTTCTCCTCATGTTCCATCGTTATTTCAGGCTGCTTCCCCTTTTCAATGGTCATCGGTGGCACGTTAGCCCTGCATGTTGGTCCACGAATGGCTACATTTATCGGATGCACTATTGCTACGTATGTCTCTCGTTCCTTTCTTATGACCAGTTCTACAATTTATTTATAATTTTTCTCTTTTTTGCTCTTCTATCGTGCCATCGGTTTACTGTACACCTTTTCTTTGGCGTTGCCAGGAGGGCGCAGCGGAAATAAACTACGATTTTGTGGTGTGCATGGACCTGCAACAACAACATGCAGCAGACTGTTTTGGAAATAGGCTCCATGACTTGAAAGACCCGCCCCCCCCTTGTTTGCACACATGCGCTTGCTAGGGGGCTTATTAAGGCCACTTGCGACCATTTTTTCCTGTTTCTTCTCCACCACCGACTTCTTGGCATTTTGCTATTCAACACCACTGCCCAGAAGATCTGACTCCGCCTTTAACGCCAAACTAAACTTTAATATTGAAGAAGTAAACCCCATTAAATGTCTCGTTGCAGGTCCGGAGTTGCCCTTTCATACTGGTCCATTAAACACTCGCTTTTCTCCTTTTTCATAACCTACGGATTTCTTTTTGGCCTCGGTCAAGGAATCGCCTATGTCGTCGCCGTCGCTACTATAATAAATGTAAGCTCAACTTAGAATACAGCCTTGTTCGCTGTCGATGATGGGGCGTGTCAGTGCGCCACATCCCCACCCGTTCTTTACCAGTTGCTTAAGCGGCTGAGCGGCAACAAGTGGTAAAAAACAACTGATACGAACGATGTGATAGTCTTGTCGCTTGCCGAAAGAAAAAAACCAAGCTGGCGCCGCGCCAAACCCATCCCCTGGACACACCCCATCATTCTCAGCGAAGAACACTGTATTCAGGTTGCCTCTGAATGTGAATTTCCTTTTCAGTGGGCCCCAGAAAAAGTCGGTCTGATGAGCGGGATCGTCGCGGCTGGGTTTGGAATATCGTCGTCGATTTTCGCACCGATCCAGACACGTCTTATCAATCCGGACAATTTGCCATCCACCAGGGACGGGTGAGTCATTCAAAAGCACATTCCATTTTGATCGTGTGGGCTGGGTTACTTGGACGATTGCACCTCTCTTATTGGTACGCCATTTTATCTGGAAAGAAGGACCCATCAATAGGAGGAAAGCAAGGGTACAGGTGAAATAGCCCTCACGATCAGCGGAAGTTTCATTGGAATGAATAGCGTTGGAAAATATGCCGAAAATCACTGGGTACTTACAGGTACTTCCTGGACAAGGACCTTCTGCATCGAGTGCCAGATGTTTTTCTAACGTTGGCGTCTATCTATGCAATCATGCAACTGATTGGTCTTATTGTAATTTGTGATCCTCCTGAAAAAGTGAGAATTTCCGAGAATATTTTTGTTGTAGTTTTAGAACACCCCTTTTGAGAACGAGGCAGCTAATGGGGGGCTCACGGCGGCGCGACTGCGTGACACCTCATATCCTATCTGCTCGTCTGTTCTTTCTCACGAAAAGGGTAAGCGTTACCATTCTGAAGCGATTTCGGGCTTTTTTTAGAGAGAAAATGGCGTAGAAACCCATGGATTGAGTAGAATTGCCGACGTACACTTATTATCACTGAGGTAAGTCAGGGTGGGTCAGCGGAGAATGCGTTTTGACCTGGCGCCAGCGCCTTCACCTTGGCTTCGGGGTTCAGTGATTGGTGGGAGAGAAGCTAGCCCGTACCAGAATCAATGCGCTGGTGAAACGCCCAAGCTGACTTCAGTGATAACGATCGCAACAAGGCATGGTCGCGCCGCCGCGCTCCTTAGTCCAGTTTTGCCTCCTCCTGACAATAGAATCTCCTTTTGTTGTCCATTTGTTCACGGCTTCAACTGTGTTTGGGCTACTGCAGATTCACAGCTCGGGACTTGGTTCGATCTCGGATTTCATCGACGAGATTCGCCACGGTCGTGACCCATCACACCCTCGTCAGCGATTCGCTACCGTCGCGTACAAGCACTTACCTCGCGACGAAATTACGGTAGATGTTCGGCGCGGTCGCCCCTCATGCAATTCAGGTTGTCAGTTCTGCCTAAACTGGGATGCCTCCCTTCTCCACCTCATGCCAATGAATTCGGAAATCTTGGTGGGAGAAGACAACATTCGCTTTCAAGAACACACACAATCTCTGCACAGCAACACACACACATACACACACACCACACACACACACACACACACACACACACACACACACACACACACACACACACACACACACACACACACACACACACACACACACACATCTAGGCTAAGCTGAATGATCGATCTATTAGGCCAATTTTTTTCATTTTTGGCCAATTTTTTCATTTTTTATTTCAAAATTGAAAGTCTCTTAAGCTGCTATCAACACACCGATTCCGGTAGAATCGGAGTATCCGGAAAATTTAACGAGTAGCTATCGATCTGAAGTCCACTACGGAGTCAGTCCAATTGATACGTATCAACCATGTTACCTTTTTTCCAAGTCCTTCATTTTTCGAGTGTGAAAATCATTCAAAACATTTTATATGAAGCGGCCTTTTCATATTGCTGAAAATTTCAAAAGTTCCTGAAAAATTTGATTAAATAAAAGTCCGCGGTTATAGGGAACCTAGGGTTACCCACAGCAGAACTGACTACTACGTGCTTCATTTTGAGTTAACGCTCACCGGCTCACCTCATGGGGCTGCTGTCACCTTTTCAAAAACATGGGACAGTAGTAAATGCCTAATCGTGATTTGTAGCTGTCAAAAATTCAAAACCATGGAAGCAATAATGGTCGGTAGAAAGTCGTGGATCAGGTCTCGCCCAAGCTAGCCAGCCTTTCATCCTTGGTTCTTAAGGTTGGACCTTTTAGTTGAATGCGGACTCTTCTGTTAGGAAGATGTTCTAGTAAGACTTTTAGGAGTGTAAAGAACTGTAAAGTTGAGACCTTTTGTTCTTCTCTAAGGCGGGTCTTGCATCCAGGGGTGGAGGTTGGAAGATTGGGCGGGACTCGATCCAGTCTCTGTCTACCTGTTCTCGTTGTTCTCTCATCTCGGAACTGAAAACAATGATTTGAAAAGGTGAAGGTGTAGCCCTTGGCGCCCACAGGCTCCACAGTTCTGCCGCTTGGTGACGAAATTGCGAGTGAAAGTTAACTGAGTGGCTGTCTTGCCCTCAGCCTTGCTACTTGTGGTCAGGGACAGAACTTTGACCGCCTGGAACAGCAGAGTCGCGGCATGTTGTGGATCGTGGCTTGTGTTGTGGTTGCAGAAGGCTCACTACTCTACTGTGCTCGTTTTAGTTGCTGCTCTTCTTAGGTCTTGCAGTGCCTCCTTTTCAAAGGCAAGCTGTGCGCTTACTTCCGAGAATGTCCTTCCTAGGTGGAATGTGTCCGCAGCTGCAGTAGCGTGCCACCTTCTCTGCTCAAAAGTGCGCGGTAATTTGACGGAGGGTTGTGATACCATCTCCTGACATGGCGTGCGCTGTCTTCAAGTTGCAGCACCTGCGTCGATGTCAGTTTAAGGGAGAGAATAACCAGAATTGAGAGGGTGCAGACAAGTAGCGCGTTCGGCTATACTTAGTCGTGTGACTGGATGTGCGACAGCGTAGGTGGAGTTAGGAGACAGCACCGGATGTCACTGCACTCCACTCTCGTTCTCGGGCCCTTTCGAGTGGATAAAGTGGTATGGAAGTGCAGCTGTGGACTCATTCAAGTATGATCACCAAGAACCTGATGCACAAAAGTGAGTGTACAGCATCTTTTTAAGGTATCCCTGCCTCGTCTTAGTTACTAGTTCTTGCAAATGGCTTCATCTTCAGCATGTGTTTACTCTTATGTGATGCTGTCATACAGAAGAAAAGTGGGAATCCTTACCCGGTGCCACACAACTCGTCTAGGGTTCAAACCTGCTGCAGAAAAGGCTTTCGTGTATAAAACCTTGATTCCTTAAAGGCCACTTATTTACTGTCCCACCCGTGGGGGACAGTAA